TKKTWACARTGTCTGAGTTGATATTTTGACTCTTAAACCAATTTGATAATTACAAGAAAAGATCTGAGCATATGGTTACTTGATTATACAGGCGTGCTGGTGGTGAAAAGGTGTATAACGTGTTTGATAATCAGCTTCCGGCGGCTCTGAAGAGACTTCAGTTTGACAAGCAGCTAGCAATGGACAATATCCGTAAGCTGGTCACTGAGGCTGACGGTTACCAGCCTCACTTGATTGCTCCTGAGCAAGGTTACCGTCGTCTCATTGAGTCTTCTATTGTTTCCATCCGCGGCCCTGCTGAAGCATCTGTTGACACTGTACCACTCTAACTTGCATGTCCAAATCAAAATGAATCAGTAACCTAACAAAAAAGCAATAACCGTCTCTAATTTTTTGTTTGGTGGTTTTAATATTACTAGGTTCATGCGATCTTGAAAGATCTGGTTCACAAGTCTGTGAATGAGACAGTGGTACGATCCTCTTCGTCTTTAAGAAATACATATATCTGGAACGACTTATTACTTTGGTCCAATGTTATAGACGGCTTGAACATGTGCAGGAACTAAAGCAATACCCAGCTCTGAGAGTGGAGGTGACAAACGCGGCCATAGAGTCTCTGGACAAAATGCGGGAAGGAAGTAAGAAAGCAACACTGCAGCTGGTGGACATGGAGTGTAGTTACCTCACTGTTGATTTCTTCAGGAAGCTTCCCCAGGATGTTGAGAAGGGTGGCAACCCCACGCACTCCATTTTCGACCGCTACAACGACTCCTACCTCAGACGTATCGGTAAGTTTAAGCATATGTGGTATATATCTGGCTTGGTACGATAATATTTTCCTACCTCACAGTTTTTCACGTTTGGCAACAGGATCCAATGTTCTGTCTTACGTGAACATGGTCTGTGCTGGTCTGCGGAATTCAATACCCAAGTCCATCGTCTACTGCCAAGTCCGGGAAGCGAAGCGCAGCCTCCTCGACCATTTCTTTGCCGAGCTTGGTACCATGGATGTAAGTTGTCTCCTGCCTTTTGTCTTTAACATATAAACAAGTGTGGCATCCAGGACTGAACAACGGTGGTGAATTGCAACAGATGAAGAGGCTCTCGTCGCTGTTGAACGAAGACCCAGCAATAATGGAGAGACGCAGCGCCATCTCTAAGAGGCTGGAGTTGTACCGAGCTGCCCAATCGGAGATCGACGCTGTTGCTTGGTCCAAGTGAAACCAACATAACATGCCCTGACTGTTTGGCTCGGACCCGGAAGAGGGGGGATTTAGGTTGTGTAATGTTTATAAGATGATCAAAGTGTTTGTTCTGCCTCTATGATGCTTGAGCTTGACATATCGACGATATTGCTTGTTATATTGTAGAGATTATGATGTTTTGGTGTGATGTTTCTTTTTGAAATCATTTATTAGTATATTTGTTTTGTTTTTTACATATGGAAAAAAAAAAAAAAGAAGCAAAGATGTAGTATATTTCGTTATAAAGAAAGTAGGATTTTTTATCCGAAATCACAGCAATAAAGGTTTTGCTCATCCGAAACCCCATTTTGTCGAGAAGCAACTTCACGACGAGCCAACTCCTTGCTCCGTGAATCGCCCTTGTTTGAAAAGATGTGTAATCAGGGTAGAAAACAAACATGCACCGTTTATAAGCGTTGAAGTCAAGTGTGAACGCATTTTTCAACATATAGACCAAATCCAATACTACACACTTGGTTCAAAAGTCTTGTTTCTCCGACAAAGAACATCGGCTTTGATTGATAACCATTTTTTTTTCTCTAAAAACGTAAATATCATTTATAGTGAAATGTTAGGTGATACATATTGATAACCTAAGACATGATTCCTTGGAAAAAAAATTAATAAAAGATCCGCGTCAAACGCGAGATTATAATATTTGAAAACAAAAAATTATAATCTCGTATAGTACACGGGAAAAATTAGAAACAACAAAAATCAAATTGTATATCTTTCATATTGATAAATATATTTTATCTTAAAAAATTTAATATGCATGACAGTTAGATTGAATGTAAGCGTTTTTAATGTAAACTAGGCAGGTACCCGCGCGTTGCGCGAGACATTAATATCGAAAAATTAGTTTAAAATTGTAAATTAAAATTTTACATTCAACACAAAATTAATTACTTATTTCGAATTATGAACACATAATTTTAATATATTATACATTTAACATTTGATGAAATATAATTAACAATCCAAACTAAACAGTATTTAAGTTTGTTATAAGATCAATATGAAACATTATTTAAAAAAACATAATATAAGTTATCCAAATGATAATAAACATATAATTATATAATATATAGTACAATGAAAAATATGTCGTATAATCCCGGAATTGGGCTATTTTGTCAATTCCAAGTTGTTTCGATTTTGAATCATGTCTCTCGACACGTTTGATCTTCTTCTCGACCATATTCTGCTTCATATCGAAATTGACATTTTTCTTAATTCAGCAATAAGATCTCTTCTACATTATGTCATTTCATAAAACAATTTACTCCATGAGGTTCTACATAAAATATTTGAGAGTTATCAGTTAATTGTTCGAATTTAAATAAATCGCCCCAAACTCGGGTATTAAGATTTTTTTTTAAAAGAAAGTATTATAATTTATCTCTTCTTTTTAGGTGAAGTGCATGATTTTTTTCCTCTTTAACGCTAATTGTTTGCATTGGATTTTAGGTCCTCGTATGAAATTGTAGATGCCTTGCATAAAATTTTGTGTGTCATATTTGAATAGTCGTAGAGCTCCATATATAAGTTTTGTCTTCTGAGGGGATGAGAAACGCATCTACCTAAGTTACCGTCTCTAGTGAGATAGCTACGATGATCATTTGGACATGCTTAGCACCCATGCATAGGTAATACCGCCAAAAAGATTTTTGGGAGGATGATAAGAGAATTCCATCTTTAAAACTCTCTAACATCTAAGTTAGATTGCCATTGGAAAGTAAATTGTTTAGAGAAGTTAGTGTAGATTATGTTTGGGACCACATATGAAGATCATGATCTCTCTCCAATATTCTAGAATGGATGAGAAGAGAAGATGTGTAGAGTTCCTAGGGAGAGTGGGGTCATAAATCCTTTCCTAAGTATTGCTCTCGTGAGAATACTCGTGAGAGAGTATCCCGTTGTTGTCTTATTCTATGAAGAGTTATCTCTTTATTTTTATGTGTTTTCTCTTTCATCTACCTCTCTCTCGGAGATCCTCTTCCTTTTTTTCTCATCCTTTTTTATATATTTATAGAGAAAGACACATACCTTAGTTTCTACATCGTCATTTGTTGTACTTATAGAGATAAAAAAATTGATGCGGAAAAGGATATATATACAATGAGACCATTCTTTTTGAAGATATCAAACCAGAAATTCGACTTTTTGTTTTTTTAAAGAGGAAAGTTTCAAAAGTCTTAGTTTTGTAGTAATTTATAAGTGCCAAGACAACAAAAAATAAAGTTAGATCTACATATGTCACAAACTCTGATATTTAAAGACAATCAACATTTTTTTTTAAATATCATTACAATTTTAATGTTCTAAATATCACTAAAAGAGTTGTCCAAAACAAAAAAATTGAAATATCACTAAAAGATTTCATGTGAGCAACCGATCTAAAAATAAAAATTACTACATAAAACAACAATCGAAACAAAAATCATAATACGACGAAGAGAACACAACATAGAAAGGCTTCAAAAACAAACAAAAAACACATTATCAGTAAGAACAAACGTTACATACACAAAAATCATAATCACATAGTTCAATTGTGCATCTCACAAATGCACATAAACTATTGAAAATAATTTATATTTTTAGCAAACTAAGAGGTACTAAAACCCTAACATGTGAACCTAAACCTTCACAAATACACATAAAATATTGAAAAAGTACATAGATAACCATAGAATCCTAGAATCAGAACCTAAATCCAAATAATTTTTTTACCCAAAGTTTAGGTACATTGTGTTAGTTATGGTCGGTTTAATTCGGTTTGTTGGTTCTTTGATGATTTGTTGAGTTGGAAAATTCAACCAACATTAAGTGCATGTAACAAAATCAAAATATGATTCGGTTCGGTTCAGTTTGGTTATGGCAAAATTTGGTTCATATGTAGTGTTGCGGAATAAAACTGAAGTTTTAATTTGATTATGTTCATAGTAAAAATTTTGATTGATTTTGGGAGCTCCGTTAATTTTGGTTTGTGTAGTTAATTTCAATTAGTTCAGATCGGTTAATCAATGAAAATGAGATGCATAATCAGATTTTATAGTTTTTTTTTAAGTTGGGTAACACTTCCACTCTGCCGAACCGAAGTGAGAATCAAATATATTTAAAAATTATGCCAATTACTTTGAGGTCCAAAATTATTTGGTTTTTTCATTGAGATTACTTGGAAAAATAAACTGAACCAAAAATTTCAAACTAAGATTTGATAAGAAAAGGAAAAAAAATCGGTTATTTCCAAATTTTCAATGGAATTTTTTAATATTTTGATGCTTAGTTTAGAATCTAATTATGCCTTTTACTTTCATGGGTTAACCAACCCGAACTAACTGAAACATTTAAGTGGTTGAGATTATAAAATTTAAAACATATAGTTGATATTTAATTCTTAAAAAAAATGGTAACAGTGTAGTATGTGATATGTTTTTTTTTTTTACAAAATAGTACGTAATATGTTAATTAGTCTATATATAAATATGCCGTTCTTAATTATAAGAAAAGAAAAATTATAACCTGAACAAATTTATAATTTGTACATTTGTTGAATGAGATAATGGCTTGAAGAGATTAAAGAAAACCTCCAGACA